TTTTTTTTTTTTTTTTTTGGTACCGGGGATTGAACTCGGGTCCTTGTGCTTGCCAGGCAGGCCACCGAACCTCTGAGCTAAATCCCCAGCCCTCATTCATACATTTTTATAATATGCCTTTTGTATTTTAAACATCTGTTGCTTTACATGGCTTACTTTATATTGTTTTGTGATCAAAGCAGAGTAATGCATTGAGTTCACTAATCGTTTAAACCACATATTCTGTAGTACACATTTATAATATTTAAATAATTAGAATTTAAAATTTTATGCTGTATGTGTGATGCTTTCCTTGCCCCTTTTAACTTTTATTTTATTATTGTTTTTTACTAAGAATGGGTCACAGGGCTCTGTGCCTGTTAGGCAAGTATTCTACAACCGAGCTACATCTCTCCGCCCTTCTAACTTTTAATTAAATGATATTTAAAACGTTAATTGGAGAAAACAGTAGATGATAGGGATGATTATCTTTGCAGTTTATTCATAGCACTTATCACATGTCAAAGCATGTACTTAATGAGACTTTTAATAATTTAAGTCATTGAATTGTGATAAGTATAATTAAACACAGATGTAATTGTGATAAGTATAGTTCAAATAATGACAGTGACGTTATTACTAACAAATGTGTTTTTCTTTATACATCCTGCAATGCCTGGAACTATATTCATTGTTGCTTTTCCAGTGTCCAGTCTATAATAGGTTCTCATAAATAATTTTAAATTAGCAAGAGATGATGATTAAATGCAGTCCCCTTACCATCAAGCTTTCCAAAGCCATGTCTGTACTTCTCCCATGTTTCATTGAAATTTTGTGATCCATCTGTTCGGTGTTGAATTAGTGTCCATGAACTACCTGAATTTAGAGAATGAAGTTGTGTGTTTTTAGTAGTTTGCTGTTGACAGATTTTTAAAAGTAGCAGTATTTTGAGTTTGGTTTTAATTGGTGATTTTGCAAAGTAACTTGTTAATATTGTAAAGTATGATAGGTGAATGGTAATTCACTTTATTATTTATTATAGTCCCAAACAGTTAAGTGGAGGGCAACTAATTTTTTTGTTAGTAAACATACTGACTGGTCACTTCAGATTCTTTTATAGAGGAAATGGAGAATACTGAATAAATACATAAATAATACAAAATATAGCTATTAGAATTATGTGGATGTTCATATGTATTTCACGGGGTATCTATTCAGAACAAAGAAAGCAGGGTTAGCCTTGCTAATAATAAGTAACGAGTAATGTGAACTAACTACAGTCCATTTTCCCCACGGGCAGGTTTTACCTGACTTAACATCACAGTAGACCTGAAACACTTGAGAGTTGCTGGGTCTGATGGCATATGTGCCACTTCTGTGTTCCCTTCTGTTATAAATGGCAGAACAGTCAGCAGCACTTCCTAGAATCAACAAAATTTTACAACATAAAATTTAGTAATGTCTTTTGAGTTAGAGATTTTACTTGACATTTAATGGAATGTGGTGAATGTAGCTTATTTTCAGTGATGTTTATGCTAACACATTTTTCTAGATGGTGAGTTATATAAACAGTATAAAAATAATATTACCAAACTAGTCTATTTTTTTAAAAAAGTGACAACTTTAAACATTATTATATTTGGTTGACATAATAAAATATTAAGTGGCAGAAATATGTAAGTACAGTGTTTAATGCATACCGATTATGGTAGTGAGCAGAAATGTGTGGAAAGAGTGAGCATACATGGAACAAAACAGTAATGTGGCCTTTTTCTGTATGGAGTACATAAAAAAGAGTGTTTTGAGAATATATCACATTGTTGTAGTTTGACTAGGAGTGGAGACTTTGTTCCTGCAACTTCTGTCTTTCTTTTGAAAATTTTCTAGGAACGTGGGAATAATTATTGATGGGAACTCCATCATCTTTTAGTCTATATTCAATAATTAGTAACATTGTGTTGTATTTGCGGGCACACACATACGTGTATTTTGTTTGTATTATGTGAAAGCAGTTTCCAAACATGACTATCTAACTCCTTAAATATTTCAGCATATCTCTTAAACATGAGTTATTTTCCATAACTAATATTACTAGCCCATGTAAGAAAATAATCATTTCGTATTTTCTAATGTGAAGTCCATGTTTATATTCCATTATCTTAGCAATATCTTTAAAAGGTTTAAAAACAGTTCATGATTCAGTTTAAGTGGATACTCTGATTGGTGGATGTGCCTTTTTACACTCTTTTAAGGGGAATTCGATGGTGGCTTCTAGAAAGAACCCTACCAAGGTACCTTACCGTCTTCTTCTACATTTTTTGTTTCATTCAGTTGAAGTGGGGGGGTAGTTCGTGGTGCTCTTTGTTTGGAAGAAAGAGAATTTTCTGTGAGTTCTTGAATACCAGTCCTTCTGAGCTGATAAAAGAATACAAGCCTAGTTTTAATAAGTGACTCTGAATATGCGTGTAATTTGGGGAAGTCTGAGTAAGGGTATCAGAAGTGATGTTTATGTGTGTCTTGACTTTCACTTCATAATATTACTGCCTTTGATGGTAAGAGGAATAAATAGTACTGTCCAGATTGTACAGATGACCTGTTCTCAAAAATAGTTAATCAAGAGCTGGGCGTGGTGGCGCATGCCTGTAATCCCAGCACTCGGGAGGCTGAGGCAGGAGGATCACTGTGAGTTCAAGAGCAGCTTGAGCTACATAGTGAGTTCCAGGTCAGTTTCAACTACATAGTGAGACCCTGTCTCAAAAAAAAAAAAAACAAAAAAACAAAAATAGTTAATCAGACATGTTGTTGTTGTTATTATTATTATTATTATCATTATTATTATTATCATTTTTTTTTTTGTACCAGGGATCGAACTTGGGTCCTTGCACTTGGAAGGCAGGTGGCGGAACCACTGAGCTAGGTCCCCGGCCCAGTCAGTCATTAGCTCATTATATAATAAGCTAAAAAAAATCAATAGAATAAGGCAAAATATAAACATAAAACAAAAAATCAGAGTCAGAAAATGAACAAGACCAAAATTTTTGCTTAAAACATTTTGATATGCAGTATTCTCTTTATTTATATGAGTAGAATATATTTATGATTCTATTTTGCTTTCTTTTGTTTTTGTGGTACTAGAGATTGAACTCAGGACCTTGCTTTTGCAAGGCAGGCAGCAGAACCACTGAACTAAAATCCCTGGGGCTACTTGATAGTTTTTGAGAACGTATCTGTAGAAGTTGGTAGGCTGGCAAGATTTTCAGTATAGTCAGTATAATTTGGTATAATCAATATTTCATTGCTAATTTAGGAGGAACATTTAATTTTTATTTAAAGTTTGAACTTTTTCTTATTAATAGTGAGAAAAGCAGAATGCATACTATCTTGCGTTATTGTTATTAGTGGTCTCGGTCTTTTGGGGTGAGGGTGGAGAGATTGAACCCAGTCTGTGCACACTGCAAGCCTCTATGTCATTGAGCTGTATCCCTACCCCTATTGCTAATTTTTGTTGCTGGAATACATTCTATTTCCCAGGATGTAACTCGTAGAATTCACTTACTGGGTATCTGTCTTTTCCAAGTATCTGTGTGATCTTAAAGCCACTACTTTCTTGCATTTCAGTTTTATAACTTAGAGTTGACCATGAACTTCATGTAGCTCAGAAGTGCGTTGTTTTGATTTCTTCTTACAAAAGCCCCCCCTTACCCTTATCCAGGGACACGTAATAAGACCCCCAGTAGGCATCTGAAGCTAAAGGAGTCACCAGACCCTATGCATACTATTCTTTTTGTACATGTACATATCTATGGTAGTGTTTAATTTCTAAATTAGATATGATAAATTAACAATACTAAAAGAATAATTATAATGTAGTATAATAAGGTTATGTTAATATGGCTTCAAGAATCGGGACAAATATTAATATTTAATATTTTTGCACTGATTGATCACATGGACAGTATAGAAAGTAAAACTGGATAAGCAGGAGATTACTGTACATTTTATTTTAAAAATAGAATGATGTCATTAATGTCATTTTGCTTGTGTGGGCAGGCTTATTGAATCATAATAAAGGATTTAATAAAAATAATTTAGAAAAGTGACATAGAAGAAAATTGTGGAAATTAAAGTAGTTGGCAAAAAACTTTTTGGAAAGTTTGCATTATATACCAAAATTATATATATTCAGTGGAAATCAATAATGATACTTGTTTAGTAGATCTTGGATATGATTTTCACCAGTGTTTCTGAGTTTGTTTTATTTTTTGAACACTCTTGAATGGCTGTTTAAGAATATTACTTTTTTTTTTTTTTTTTAAGTTCTGGGGATTGAACTCAGGACCTTGAGCTTGCAAGGCAGACATGGCACCGTTGAGCTAAATCCCTGGCCCCTAAGAATATTACTAATTAATATTCTTACAACTATTCTCCTGTATTTTGCAGTGCTCAGATTCTCATGGCTTTAGTCTAGATAAATACCTTCCTATCCCAGCCAGTTGTTTGCATTTTAGATCAATTTTATTTTAGGGACATAGAGTTTCTAATATGAGTAATAATAATCATAGGAAGTCTTTTTTAATATAATTATTAATTAAACAGATATTTGTTTGAATGCCTACTCTGTGCTACATAGTGTTCTATTTTCTGCAGCTACAGCAATAAAAATAAGGGGGAAAATCCCTGTGCTTACAGAGCTTACATTGTAGTTCAGGGATAGAAAGAATAAATCACTAAAATGTATATGTAAAGGTGTTACGGAGATAAAAATGTTAAAGGGCAGAAGCTTTGGAGGATGGGGATAGGGAGTTGTAATTTTTGTTTAAGTAGCTTGAAAAGGCTTCACTGAATAATTTGTGTGTGATGAAAGCTTAAAGAAAATGAAAGAGTAGGCCATGCAGATACCAGGAGGGAAGCATGAGCGCTCCCGGGAGAGGGAAGGAGGGCAGAGGCCAGGAGGGGGCCTGTGTTTGCTGTGTTAGAATACAGGGAAGAGACCAAAGTTACTAGATTAGGTTGAGATGAAGTCAGGAGATAACGAATTGTCAGGGCATTTCAGGTCCTGAGCACTAACACGTGTGACATGGCGCCCAGTGGGAGTTTTGAACCAAAAATAGACATGGTTAATTTAAAATTTAATAGGATCACTTTTGCTGCTATGAATTCTGTTTTGCTCACAGTAATCCTGTGAGATTGAGCTATTATCTTTGTAAGACATGAGGAAGCTGAGAGACAAAGAGGATAAGTGGCCTATTCAGTTAGGAAATTTTCAGTCATGATTCAAACTCGTTGGTATTAGCTACAGAGCTTGTGATCTTGGAAGTCATGCTGTTGTGATCATTTTCCACATGATCCAGTTAAATCTTTTAAATAATTTTAGGGTCTAGTGTTTATATAAACCAAAATGTAAAATATTGCACATACCATTAAAATACTGACTTACCTGATTTTCTATTTCCTTTATTTGACTTTGCTGTTGGTTTAATTGTTTATATTGTTCTTCCACTGTCTGGAGAAGATCTTTAATGCTGTTATCTTGCTGTTCTATAAAAGCCTGGATATAGATCGTAATATGATTATAAAGATTTCCTTTTGATTCTTTTTTGTTAAGTTTTATTTATAACTATCATGATCTAATTTTTTAGATTATTATGTTAGAATCATTTTCACTTGTATGCTTCAATATGAAATAAAACCCCTCATTCTTTTTTTTTTTTTTTTTGGACCAAGGATTGAACTCAGGATCTTGTACTTTTGAGGCAGGTGGTGGCATCATTGAGCTTCTTCCCTGGCCCCACCGTCATGCTATTTTAATAGAAATAATTCTTTACTCTTTACTGTATTGCATTTATCTGTTTCTGAACACGGAAGAATGGTTTTAAATTTAAATTCATTTAATTTTTTACTTCAAGTAATTTGCAGTAGTATAATTAGTATTCTGTATTAACTGATTTCTAATTTTTTACATGAAATACAAAATTTAGTTGTTTCCATATGTATTATTAGGGAAATGAAAACCAACTTGAAATTATAATGGAAATTTTATTTTATAGAAGATATTTTTCATAAGAAAAATAAAATATTTTGACAATGGTAACAAAGTATTTCAAGTAGTATATCTCAGAAGTACTTTAAGTCCACATTGAAAACATAATCATGAACCCACTTTGATTTTTTTTACTTACTTTAAGTGATGTTACTTCTGGGTGATCCTGAATGTCAGGTTGATTTTGAATTAAATTAGCTAATTGTTCCTCCAAGTATCTCACTTTTTGCTGAAGTAGAATTTTTTCTTCTAAGAGGCTTTCAAGTTTTGAGTTGAGTTCAAGTGACATGTTCTTCACCTCTGCATTTTTGACTTGTAGTTTGGATGTAGTTCTTCTCAGTTCTTTTTCTTCTTCTTTAATTTCATTAGTTTGCATTGATAGGTCATAAAAAGACTGATCAAATATATTGAGTTTTTGAAATATGTCATTAATTTGGCCCTTAGTCTTATGGACAAAGTCTTTAAGACCATGTCCCAACTGAAGGAGACCATTGGCTAAAATTTTTATATCATCTAACATAGCAAATCTTGATTTTGGCTCTGGAGATGGAGAATCAAGTGATGAATTGTCTTGATCAATCCTGGAAGAAATAACTAGAGGAACAAGAATGAGAAAGAGCTTAATTGTGTACATTTTATCCTAATTATTCAATTTCAAGGAATTTTGAATAATTTTCTCCTATAAGCAGACCTAGACTTCTTTATATATACTAGGATTTTCCGCATAAAAGGTCAGGTTGGCAGGTGAATATAGTTAATCATTAAGCTATATTAACTTGCACGAATGTAACCTTCTTTCACATTGAGTTAGATCAATGCCAAATGAAATCAAGGAAATGAGAACTAAATAGGTAGTTTGAAATTGTTATTATTAACTTTGTTATACTATTAACTGCACTTTTAGTGTTAGGCACCAACCTGTTTTTAAAAGCTCCTTTTAAAAGATATTTTTATGATTTTAAAATAGATTTGTAAATAAAAAACTCTTGATGGATAACTTCATGATTAAAATCGAGAAAAATTGAAATGGATTAAGTATGTATCTCATAGATTGTATTTTAGTGCTTTTGTAAAGATCCCTAATCCCCAGAATTCTTTCTCTGTGAAACCTTCCTTTATTCTTGCAGGTGGTGTTACGGCTCTCAATGCTCTAATTCTGTAAAACCTGTCGAAGCTAACATTGTTATATGCTCCTTATTACTTGTCACTGTAATTATCTGTTAGTGTGTCTTTTGCTTCACATGTTGTAACCAACCTTGTAAGACATCACAATATTCCATACTTTATAAACATCAGTACAGCAGGGTCTGCTCCTTTCCCTACTGTGTTTGTGTTCCAGGCTCTTTTCCATATACTGCCAGAACATCAGTAGGTACTTAGTCTCCTTTAGCCAAAACTAGAATTAAATCTGAAATTCTTCCTAGTGTCAGAAGCTATCATCTGCCCACCGTGATTTTTCTGAAGTTTGTGATCTTAGTAACAATTCTGATATTAAAAATTCAACCAAAAGCGAAGAATAATTTATCTATAAATGAAAGTTCCATTGTTCTTGTGAGTGTTAAAAGGAAACAAATTAAATGCTTAAATTGTAAGTGGTTATCTTCATTGAGTATTCATATCAAGAATTTTTTTGAGAAACTAAATCTATGTGATAAAATTGTTAATGTGGATTCTGGAATCTGACTATGGTTTGAGTCCAAAAGCCAACTTTAGCTGTTGGACTTTGGACAAATTATTTAACTTCTTCATACTATGGTTCTCATTTGTATTGGGAAAACTGTGGTAGGTAGCTCATTGGGTTATGAGGATTTTTAAAAAAGTAAACAGGATGCTTAGAATAGTGTCTGGCTGGTAAGAGATCTCAAATGTCTATCTGTATATCACCGGAAGCTGATTTGTAACCTGTGTGTGTGTACATGTGTGCATGTAGAGTGTGTGCTTACTCAACACTATGTAAGATTTTTTTTCATAAAGTTAATAACTTTTAGGGGGTACTAGAGATTGAACCCAGGACTTTTTCACTGAGCTACATTCCCAGCCCCTTTTTAAAAAATTCATTACGTTTGTTGTTGCATTTTAGGTATACAATATGACATTCATCATTGGGAAAATTTGTACTTTTACATGATATTCCTGGCCCTTTTTTAATTGTTTATTTTGACACAAGATCTCATTAAGTTGCCCGAGTGGGACTTGAGATTGTGATCCTCTTCCCTTAATCTCCCAGAGTACTGAGAAGTTAATAGCTTTTCCACAAAGAGAAAAATACTGATATAATGAGTTTCAGTTTAAAATTGTGAATTGTCAAGCAAAATTTTACAAAAAAATAATTTTCAAAATTATTCTTAGTAATGTCTCTTTTACTGTAAAATGGAGGCATTTTTTATTGTATAGTAAGTATTAAGGGGTTGGTTAATATTGTAACTATTTAAATAGTAGTGTACCACAGTGATTAAGAATGTGATTTTGGAGAAAAACTGCTTAAATTGAAATCTTAGCTTTGCTCATCTTCAACTCTGTGAACCTTGGTCAAATTACATCTATTGAGTGCAGATAATAGCTACTTGATAGAGTTACATAAATATTAAAATTAGCTTTTTCGAGGTGCTTAAGATTATCTGCTGAGTAGTAAGCACTACACAATATATATATTTTATATATATATATATATAGGCTTTTTAATGCTTAACAAATGTAGATATATTCATACTGTAGCATTCTGTTTGTGACACCTGTATTCATATTAAGATCATGTTAACTGGAAATTTGTTAGAATTTAGGTTTTTCTGAGCTTTTGTCTCTTGAACCTTGGTAAGGAATTATGTCTTTTGATTAGCTTATGTATATTTTTTCTTACGTGTCTAATACAATACCATATTAATACTTGTAGTAGAAGTACAGAATAAAAATAAATGAAAACACATATAATTCCACTAATGAAGAAAATTATTTACCTTCATTTTATCCTTTGCTCTAGTTCCTGTCAGTATAAAACTGTATATTAAACTAGAGTAAAAATTCAAATTTTCTCATTATTTAAAGAGAAATTACATTGTGATGACTTGTCATGAAGGGCATATTTCAAAACTTTTCTAAAATGAGCCATCAGCTTTTGTACCTTAACCATGTTGATTCTGATATTTCACGTACTTGTTAGTTGAGGGAGAGTTGAACCTAGCTTTTCTCTTATTACAGTATCCGAGGCCTGTTGTCCAGATCCTTATGTGTGTTTTGTTTATATCCCTTATGGATTTGTGATACAGTGGCTTATACGTCATAGATGTAATAAATATTCTTGAAAGAGACAAGAGAATGATAAAGATAGGACATAAGGGAGTTTTCTAAATGCTAATCCCCCTGTGATACAACAGGTTCTTTTTAGAAAAGAGAATTTGAAGAGTAGCCTGTCTGATTGCCAAGAAGTAGTATGGCTCTAGTATAAAAAAAGTGGCAGGAAAGAATTTCCTGCCAAATTCAGTGCTATTCTAGAATACTAATGCTTTCTGTACAAATTATGTAATTTTTTACCTGTAACATTGACAGGCTAGAGGTAATGGTCATATATATCCTTATATTGGTTTGAGGTAGAAATATCTGGATTTTTTCATACAGTACTTTGAATTACAGTATTATATTACATTATAATGAAATTTGAATTACATTATTATTGAACATAATTAAAGTGATAACATAGCCAGCAATTTATAAAAATTTTTTAAATGCCAAAGAAAATAAATTACTGTTAAGCAATCTTAGGCCCTAATTTAATTCTTGGCTTCTAAGAATGAATACACAAAGTATTTTAGCTAGACAGACTTTTAGGGCATTTAGCAGCCTCAGTTGTTTAAATTCTAAGCAAAGCAAAGTCCTTTTGCTTCCCCTAGGTTATGCAATCTTAGAGATAAGATTTCTAAATAAAACACAAGGTATTTGGCTGTTTTCTATGCAATATTTCTTTAATTTCTTTCTTAACTATGATAGTTCATTTTTGAGTTGCAGGAGTACCTGCTTATCTTTAGGTTTCAGTTAACCAGGGTCAACTGTTAGCCAAAAACATTAAATGGAAAATTCTGGAAATCCATAACTCATAAGTTTTCAACTGTTGTGGGTATAGAGATGAAATCCTGCTCTGGCTCACTCTGTCCCGCCCTTGTCCACAGTGCCCATGCTGTTTGCTGGACATGCTCCTTGCCCATTGTCACTAAGCAGATTTTGTAGTTATCTGGTCATTGCTGTGCTATTGCAGTACATGTGTCCAAGTAACTCTTATTTTACTTAATAATACCTCAAAATGCAAGTACAATGATGCTAGCAATTCTTTTTTTTTTTTGGTACCGGGGATTGAACTCGGGTCCTTGTGCTTCCAAGGCAGGCCACCGAACCGCTGAGCTAAATCCAGGCCCTAGCAATTCTTATACACCAAAGAAAAGCCTTAAAATGCTTCCTTTATGTGAAAAGGTAAAAGTTCTAGACATTTAAATAGGGTTTGATACTATTTCTGTTTTCTGACACCCTCTGAGGGTTTTTGAGTGCTTCCCCTGAGTATAGGGGCCACCACTGTACTGTGTTTGTTAGAAAGATTTTGAAAGTAACTGTTTGAGAAAAACAGTTCTGAGAAAAAGTAGAAATGTTTATACTAATTAGGGCCCAGGGTTTAGCTCAGTGGTGCCGTTGCCTGCCTCGCAAGCAGAAGATCCTAAGTTCAATCCCCAGTACCCCCCCAAAAAAAAGAAAGAATGTTTATACTAATTAAAGAATACCAGAATTACTCTTTAGGTCCTCTTATTTGTCTAAAACAGCACTGTCCATTAGACATATAATGTGTACTATATATGTACAGATAGATGCTTCTTGGCTTTGGATATGATTCTATCGCAATAAACACATTGTAAGTTGAAAATGTCAAATTGAAAATGCATTTAGTATCCCCAACTTCCAACACTATAGCTTAACAACACTGTGTGCTGTAGAGGATCGGCTATTTAACCCCTGATCATGTGGCTGGCAGGAGTTGATGTGCCTTCCCCTAGCATCCTGAGAGTGTCATGTGACTTGCCAGGGTAAAGATTCAAAATCTGCAGTATACTTTTACTGCATTTGAGTTGCTTTCACACCATCATGAAACTGAAAAGTTTTAAGTGAAACTGTCCTAATGTGGGGACTGACTGTAATTTAAAAATATTGATAAGTACAATAAAAATAAGAAACAGATGAAATTAATTTGATAGCATTTTATCTAATCCAATATGTAAAGTCATTGTGACATCCATATTAAAAATTAGATATTTTATATTTTACACTGTATTCAAAATTGTATATTTTATATTACAGTAATCAGAACCAATCACATATGAAATGTTCAGTTGTCTCATAGACCATTCTACTAAATAGTACTCATTGTATAGACCCAGAAGTTGAGCAAGCTTTGCAGGAATCATTTTATTTTATTTATTACTTCTTTTATGTTTTGGGGGGGGCTTGTGTTTGTTTTTTTCAGTGCTGGAGATTAAATCAGGGCCTTACACATATTCTGTAAGGGTTCTGTAAGTGAGCCACATACCCAGCCCAGTTTTTGTTTTTAATGCTGGAAATACTTACTGTGAAAACTCAGATATTTGCGAGTGGAATTAACACAAGAAAATGAAAAAACGGAAACA